AAAGAGAAACTATGCATCTGGGTTAACAGATTGTAATAGTTAGCAGGTTTGTAAGACTGTGAAAGAGAAACTATGCATCTGGGTTAACAGATTGTAATAGTTAGCAGGTTTGTAAGACTGTGAAAGAGAAACTATGCATCTGGGTTAACAGATTGTAATAGTTAGCAGGTTTGTAAGACTGTGAAAGAGAAACTATGCATCTGGGTTAACAGATTGTAATAGTTAGCAGGTTTGTAAGACTGTGAAAGAGAAACTATGCATCTGGGTTAACAGATTGTAATAGTTAGCAGGTTTGTAAGACTGTGAAAGAGAAACTATGCATCTGGGTTAACAAATTCAACAAATTATGTCATTATTTAAATGAGGATTCTGGCTACAAGTTTCAAAAAAGCAAGCAATTACTCATGTCCTTTGAATAGTGTTGAAGTAATTCTTCAACATTTACATTCTATATGAAAAGCACACATTTTGATTATGCTTTCCATTAATAATGTATTCAGTAGCATTATATGCATCATCTCCTAGGTCCTTCCTTCTTCGCTTACATCTCTGGTTCACAAACTCCCAGGCTTTTAACTATATGTGAATCAGGGTCCACTTTACACATCGAAGTAAAAACTATCTTCCCTGCAAAAAATGGATTGTCACAATGGATTGTAAACTGAAGGGACCACAGAATGCTCCATCTTTTAAATTTGAAGAACGGGGTCTCCTACAAGACCATCACTGCTTTAAAAATTAACTCAGTGCCATTTTCCTTTCCCAAAAATTCCAAGGCAGCTGCTTTCACACTAGCTAACTAGATAATTAAAATGGAAGGATTTGTAGTACAACCATCTGCTCCCCACAATGGGCTAAGGTCTTTAGATCTTTAGGGAATAAAATCTAGTCTAGAAGCTTTTCTATAGTACAAGACCAGAGAAGCCCCCCACTCTCACAATGTGAGAAATAGGGTAGAAACAGATGGTAAGATTTTGTGGGAGGCAGCAAAGAGATTACAGCACAACTCAAAGATAAAATGACAAAGAAATAAGATTAGGAGAATAAACAAGAAAAGAATGGTTGGAAACACTGATTTAAAGTGAAGACATTTTATGAACTCAGATTGCTGGGCAAAAAATGTATTTTCATAGAAATTATGGATTGAATAGGCTTAAACCTGAATAAAAAAGGAATAAAAAATCCAATATTTACTTGATTAATTCCCTTATTCTTCAACATCATATATGCTAATCTACAACAAAGAGTGGTAAATTTGAATGATTTAAGGAAGATCTATCAATTGAGCGTGGTCTGATAGATGACATTATTAGAAACACCATTCAATTAGTGTTGCCAAAATGAATGTAAATACTTTATCAATAAATGTTCAAATGCTTTGCCTTCTGTATCAATCAGATCACTACTCCTTTTGCTGATATCATCAGTGCTATCAACTGAAGTATCCTGATCTATCCTGCTCTAGGATGAGCCAGTTTTGTTGCAGTCTTTTCTCTGTATCACTTCTCAGCAATAGTTCAAAATAATCCCTTATCTTAGCATGGAGACCATAATTTTTGAGCTGAAAACATTTTATGACACTTCTTTAGCCAAACAAATTACTACCAATGGGTCAAGAGAAATGTAGGTTACAAAGCAGTGGTGGGATTCAAAATTTATTAGTACTGGTTCTGTGGCCATGGCTTGGTGGGTGTGGCAGGGGAAGGATAAAGTAAAATCTCCATT